AACTAACACAATTGAAAGAACCGGCAAAACGCAAAAAAAACGAAAAAGGTGTAGAGCCTCAGATAAGAACTTTTAATATCTTTGGAAAAAAAGAAAAGGCACCTAAATACATTCCGAACAAATGATGATCTGATCAAACACATCCAAGAATCTTTAAAAACGGATGTAGTAAACGCACTGCCTTGCGACTTGCCCACTCTGGCACGATTCCAGCATAAATTGGTTTAACTCTTTTCAAATGTGAAGTTCAGGCACACGGAGAAGTTAGTTATCGATATATCAGACACGAATGAACAACGGGAAGTTATAGCAGCTGAACATAATGGAGCTCATCGAGCAGCTCAGGAAAATGTCATGGAATGGAAGCAGCTGGACGCAAACTGCCGAGTACGTTCCCAGGCAAAGTATGATCGTCATCCAAAAAGGCAACTTATTGTCCAGTCACCCATACTAACATATTCCGGGGAAATCTTTCACATTGACACATTTTCCACCAGGCCAAAGTACTTTCTGACTTGCATCGACAAATTTTCAATATTTTCGATGGTACAGTCACTAAAATCTAGGACTATAGTGGATGTTAAACCACAGCTGCTATAGTAGCTCAAAATGTTACATGGTACAAAACCATTTATTTACTTATTGTGACAACGAAAAATCACTTCACTCACGCACCATTAAGGCTACCTGCCCATTTGATGTGCTATGTAGCGGTGGGGCATTTACGATATCTATGTCGAGTTGATTTTTCAACGTAACCTTAATGGTGTGCGAGTTAAATAACATGGTACATTGTAATGTTATTGTCAAACTTAGATCGTGTTATGAGATAGGAAATATCGGTATAATCCTTCTGGTACCTCCCCCACAAAGGTCAAAATTTTGTGTATCCATGATGCTCATAAAACGCGAAATTAAAATTCGATTCCATTCAGACTTAGTACATCTCAATATTTCCATTAACACAAGATCTTTTACCATTTACGATTTCTTCTGGTACCTCACCCACATAGGGTTCAAGATTTTTGAAAAACAAAAACGCTCAAAAAATCTATATACGCATACAGTGAACTGGACGCTAAAGTGAACTGGAATCTTTTGAAACGTGGATTTATCAACGCATCCTAAAAATCCCAATACCCAATTCAGTAGTTCTGACAAGGGTTAATCGTGAACGTGAACTCATTACAACAATAACAAGTAAAAAAACATTAAGTTCGGCCGGGCCAAACTTTTAATACCCTCCACCTTAGAGTAAAAGAAACATTAGAAGAAATGTGGCAAAAACCATTAAAATGCCGATTATGGGGAGGTACCGTTATATGGGGGCTATACCAAAACGTGGACCTATAATTACAATGTTTCGCCACCAGAGCTGGAACCCATTATGACCCACAAATACCAATTTTTAGACAAATCAGTGAAAAAATGTGGCAAAAACCATCAAAATACCGAATATCGGGAGGTACCGTTATATGGGGGCTATATCAAATCATGGACCCATGCATGCAATGTTTCGCCACCGAAGCTGGAACCAATTATGACCAACAAATACCAATTTTCGAACAAATCCCTGAAAAAATGTGGCAAAAATCATCAAATTACCGAATATCGGGAGGTACCGTTATATGGGGGCTATACCAAAACGTGGACCTATAATTACAATGTTTCGCCACCGGAGCTGAAACCCATTATGACCAACAAATACCGATTTTCAGACAAATCCGTGAAAAAATGTGGTAAAAAAACTAAAATACTAAATATCGGGAGGTACCTTTATATGGGGGCTATACCACAACGTGGACCTATACATGCAATGTTTTGCCACACGCTCAGGGACCCGCTATGACCTACAAATACCAATTTTAAGACAAATCCGTGAAAAAATGTGGCATAAATCATCAAAATACCGAATATCGGGAGGTACCGTTATATGGGGACTATACCAAATTATGGACCCATACATGCAATGTTCCGCCACCGGAGCTGGAAACCATTATGACCCACAAATACCAATTTTTAGACAAATCGGTGAAAAAATGTGGTAAAAAAAAAACTGAAATACTAAATATCGGGAGGTACCTTTATATGGGGGCTATACCACAACGTGGACCTATACATGCAATGTTTTGCCACACGCTCAGGGACCCGCTATGACCTACAAATACCAATTTTAAGACAAATCCGTGAAAAAATGTGTCATAATTCATCAAAATACCGTATATCGGGAGTTACCGTTATATGGGGACTATACCAGAACGTGGACCGATATATCTCATTTTCAATACCAACCATCCTAGACACAATGCAAATAGCTCTGCTAAATTTTGGAGCTCTACGTCAAATAATGTGGGCTGTATCGTGATTTCAACAGACAGACGGACATTGTTAGAAGAATTTTATGCTGATTATGAATATATATACTTTATGGGGTCTAAAACGAATATTTAGTGATGTTACAAACGGAATGACAAAGTTAATATACCCTCCTTTCCAAGGTGGAGGGTATAAAAAGAAGAAAAACTTCATATCATAATATCCTAAAATGGACCGGCATTGGAAATTTCTCATTCCTACTGAGAGAAGCCAGAAATAGAGAAGCTTTTATGGAGATAACATATAATATATGAATGTGCCTTAAAAATTGTAACAAATAATGATATATAATTGTATTGGTCGTTTAGAAAATATGCTGACCAAGATAAATTGATAATGTACAAAAAAAAAGCAAACGTTAAAAATTGGAAAATTAGAAAGCATAAATGACATGTTTTATTAAATAACAAAAACATGTCAAGAAATTCTCCCCCGTAATTGGTTCGACTACCAAAAAAAAAACTGATAATAATTGTGTCATTTCTGCAATCAATACCAATAAAGGAACGGTTACAGATCCCCAAGAGATAGTCTTAAACTAACTTCCCACCTAAATTCTGCTCAACTAAGATCAATGTTTGTGAACGATACTTCAACGCAAAATAGTATAACAAATGCACAATTATATCTTGGTCTTAATAAAGTAAAAGAAATAACACTCAGACGCGATAGAATTTCCTATATTATGATCCAGAACCATTGTACTAAAATATGTTATAAGCTGCTTGAGTTATACAATATTATATATAATACCGGCACAATATCATATCCATGAACAACTACAATAGTTCCTGCGATTCTAAAAACCTTATAGAAGCAGAACTGACTTTTCTGGACATAGATCGATATATGTAAAGTTCTGAACTTCATACAATCATATTTATATGGACGAACATTCAATCAATAACCATCATTACAAAACCTTCAGCTTAGAAAATGAAATTCCAAAAGGATTCCCATTGTCTGATGTTATTTTCCAAATACCCTTATATAACAGCCGCTCAATCATCAAACGTTATATCAAAATTTAGATGACATATACGTCCTCAGCATAAAAGAGATAATTGTATAATGCATGCTATAGCATCATTACTGGCATAATGGATTAGTCTAAATCAGGTGCAAAGATTTCCTTGCCTAAGCTTTCTATATTACGAGTATGCAATGTTCCTTCTTCTCACGACCTAAGCACTTGCCGTGCTCTTGCTGGGGCGTTTGTTTCCACATCTTGTATATGATGGCCTGGTTAAATATTTCAAGGGGATATTTTTTGTCTCAGGGCGTAGTAATATATTAACCTGCCCAAAAAAAATAATACATTTGCAGCGTTTCTTTTTAGAGAATATTTTTAAGGAAGATAATTTGTTTTTGTTATTATTATTTGTTTTTGGCAAATTTAATTGTCATATTGACTTAATAGTTTTGAAAATAAAAATTTTCTTATTGTAAAATATTAGTTGTTGTAGCTGATGCATACACCTTATAAATACACCTTGCGCAACATCTTTACCCTACCGAAATTTAGACAACAAATGTGCTAAATGCGGCAAATGAACACAGTCCAACACATTTTAAAATCATATAACTGTCTCCGACTTATGTAACAAGCCTTTCTCAAGAAAATTGACATGGGAATGCGCACGGACAACATCAAAAATATTTATTTTTTTTAAAAAATCTAAAATATCATATCCTTTAGTACTTCAAGTATTATAAAATGTATATGCTTATGGTCTTTCTCCCATATTAATATTATATTCACTAATATTTCACACAGCTGAACGTAATGGAGCTCACTGAGCAGCTCATCCTTCTGGTACCTCCCCCACAAAGGGTCAACATTTTGTGTATCCATGAAGCTCATAAAACGCGAAATTAATATTCGATTCCATTCAGATTTAGTACATCTAAATATTTCCATTAACACAAGATCTATTACCATTTACGATTTCTTCTGGTACCTCCCCCACATAGGGTTCAAGATTTTTGAAAAACAAAACGCTCAAAAAATCTATATACGCATGCAACTCCCTTCAAATTTCACACATCCAAATATTTTTGCTAACATAAGATCTGTTGTGAAGATGATATATATCTGTAAACCCCTTCTGGTACCTCACCCACCAAGGGTCATAATTTCCAATGCATATATTTTTGTCATTACTTGCGAAACAAGTCGGCGATTCTTTACAACTTGATATATCTAAATATTTTTCTCGACCAGAAATCTGATATGAATATGTAATTTATACTTCCTCAAATTTCGCAAGTACCAATATTTTTATCTATATTAGGTGAAATGTGAAAATTTAATTCTTCGGTTCGATATATGTGGCAGGATATCTATGTAGAAGTGATTTTTCAACGTAACCTTAATGGTGTGCGAGTTAAATAACTTGGTAGATCGTAATATTATTGTCAAACTTAGATTGTGTTCGGAGATGGGAAATACCGGTCCAATCCTTCTGGTACCTCCCCCACATACGGGCATATATTTTTGTCATATCTTGCGAAACAAATCGTAATATTATTGCCAAACTTAGATTGTGTTCGGAGATGGGAAATATCGCTCCGATACTTCTGGTACATCCCACACAGAGGGTCAACATTTTGTGTATCGTTGAAGCTCATAAAACGCGAAATTAACAGCCTGTTCCACGATATCGAAAGAACACGTTCGCACAACTTTTACACGACAAACAGCTGATTTCCGTTCCACTAAAATCCATCAGAACGAAAATTTGCACGAAAATCAATGCGAACGAAAACGTAAGCGTTTCAGTGTAATTTTGCGTTCCACTATCTTTTTTCTTTCGTACGCATGCGAACACAAATGTCAAAATCAGTCACTTGTGTGTTTGCTGTCGTACGATAACAATTAAGGAAAATCTGTTTTAAAACATAAACATTGCTTAATTGAAAATGGAAACAAAAATGTAAGTAAAAATAATAAATCCAATTTATTATGGGAACAATAAATATATTTTTTTATTTTCTCAATTCCAGCACGAAAAAATCATCAACTACACAGCTGCGGGCACTAGTTGAGTATATGGAGGAGAATCCCGAGTTTGCCAGAGGAGTGCCAATTTTTGGAAGCAGCAGGCAATCCCTGGAGGACCACTGGAAGAAGTTAGTTTTTAAATTAAATACCATGGGTCCTCCTTCCCGCACAATTGCAGAGTGGAAAAAGGTAAGTCAGAAAACTCGGCTTACGATCTATTTGTCTGACCGGCATTACTATTTACAGACGTGGGCCGATCTAAAGTCCCGCACCAAAAAGAAAATTGCGGAAAATAAAAAAGGGCTGCAAGGTACAGGTGGTGGTTTATACCGGTTTGAGTGCCTAACGGAGCTGGAAACAGCAATTGACCGGACACTCTTCTTGTCGAAGTCCGCAGCACCAAGTGGTAAAACTTTTGGCTACGCGGACGAAATAGATTACTGCTTCGAGGCATTGGATACCACACCATCAAGACCATCCAAGACCGTAGCAGTGGTAACACCTACCAGACAGTTCAGTTCCCCAGAATCACATACCCAACAACAACAAATAAACGTAAAAACCTGTACCATCACAACTCAACAATACCAACCACCAGCCAAAAGACAAAAAATCCCACCCCATTTCTACACACAAACTGCAAAACAACAGGCACAGTCAGCACACACACAACAAACTCAGACACAGTCAGCACACACACAACAAACACAGACCCAACAGCAACACCAACGTAAACAAACAACGTCCCCTCGTCAACGCATGGAACATCAAACCGTGCAGAAATCACCCCCATTCAAATGCACATCACAACATAATTTTCCATCCACATCATCAGCAAAAAAAACGTTCCAACGTCGGAGAGCAAATACCTCTTATCCGTCGGCAATTGCGGCTGGTCGAGCAGGCAAATGCAATAGCCAAGGAGCAAGCAGATGCAAGCAAAAGGATGGCTGACGCTGCAGAGAGAATGGCAGATTGTGCCGAGGCCCAAACAAAATGCTTAAGTCTATAGAAGCAATTCTATCAACTTTTTTGCAAAACAATTCACAAAACAATTCACTATAGTCCTTTTATAATAATTTAAACTAATTTTTTAATTTTTAATTTATATTATTTTATTTTAATAAAAAATTCTTTTAATTTTACAAATTTATTGCAATTTTTCTCCTTATTGCGTCAGCTCTGCTTTCAAGATCATTATTGTCATCCACTTCGTCTTCCAGATCATCATCAATAACATCACCTGGCGGCTCTTCAGATCGGTAGTGTATGCACATGTTGTGCAGCGCACAACATGCATTTATAATTTGCACTACCTTTGCTGCGTCATAATGAAGGCCCCGAGATCCGATGATACATCGGAATCTGTTTTTTAGGACCCCAAAGCACCTTTCAATGACGTTACGCGCACTAGCATGTCTCTTATTGAATTTTTTCTCGGCGACATCTCTAGGGCTGCGGTAAGGCGTCATAAGAAAGGGCTTCAATTTGTATCCTCCAACCCCTATAAAAAAGAAAACACAAATGTAATTGATGTATTATGATATAAGATGTATACAAATTACTCACCGAGAATCCAAAAGTTTCGTTTTCCATTGTCAAACTCCCTTTGCATACACTTGTCTGGATCACTCCTTTCCCATACAAATGCATCATGGTTGCTTCCGGGATGTCTAGCGTCGACAAATGTTATACGCATTTTATGGTCACATATCTAATTCGAAAAAACACAATAATTTTAAAATCGCTTTACGATAAATGTATTTACTTACCACCATTGCATTTATACTATAATAACCCTTTCTATTATAGTAAAGGGCTTTCAATTCGTCCCCTGGTGACTTGATGCGGATATGCGTGCCATCAACGCATCCAACAATTCCAGGGAACATTGTTCTTTCATAGAAAGCCTCCATTGTGTTGCGTTCCTCTGTAAGTGTCGGCTTTTTTATCCATTGGCCGCAAATGTGGTCCTCAAAAATCTGCAGACATTCCGCAATGGTTCTGCTCACTGTCGACTTCGCTGTTGAAGTCAAGGCTTCGTTCCCTAGATTCTGTTGGTAGCTTCCTGTTGCCAAAAACCGCAAGAATGTGCCAAGTTTTAAATCGGGGCGGATTTGGGTAGTTCTGCAACCGGCCACCCACTTCTCTTCCATCATATCCAAAAGAGCCCGAAAAACTTCCTTCGACACACGAAAATTGGCCACAAACCTAGAAAAAATCATTTTTTATTATTTCAAAAATGTAAAAATACAATCATACTTACTGGTTGTTAGGTACTTCAAATAAATTCGAAGCATCTCTTAAATGCCTCCGTGGCACATTTTGTACCTCCTCCTCATCATCCATAAAAAACAGGGCCACAGAAATATTCATTTTTTTCTTTTTTAAGAACACAAATAATCTGAACTCAATCACTAGAAATTTTATTTTGTTTGTTTATTTACAATTTGTTTGTTTACAACTGAACTGTCAGTTGAGACAGAGCCACTGCTGCTTTTTCGCGTTTAAATTAGACATTTAGCGCTTTTTTTTGCCTTATTTCGCGATTAATTTTGCCAAAAAATATTTTGCAACACTGAATCACGTAAGGCTATGCGAAAGAAAGAACGAAAGTTAGTGGAACGCATTCTTATGCGAAAGTGAGTGAGTAGCCTTCGTTCGCACAAATTTTCTTTCGAGATCGTGGAACAGGCTGTAATATTTGATTCCATTCAGACTTAGTACATCTCAATATTTCCATTAACACAAGATCTTTTACCCACATAGGGTTCAAGATTTTTGAAAAACAAAACGCTCAAAATATCTTGCATGCGTTGTATGTATACATACAATGTATACAACTCCCTTCAAATTTCACACATCCAAATATTTTTGCTAACGTAAGATCTGTTGTGAAGATGATATATATCTGTCAACCCCTTCTGATACCTCACCCACCAAGAGTCACAATTTCTAATATATATATCTGCCATAACTTGCGAAACAAGTCGGCTATACTTTACAACTTGATATATCTAAATATTTTTCTCAACTAGAAATCACCACTAACATTTGACGTTTCGGACAGAAATCCGAACTCAAAAATCAAAAGGTGGAAAGCTTTTTTGACGAATGCAACGGAAGGCTGATCTACGAACCAGGAAAGAAAAATGTGGTCGCTGATGCGCTGTCTAGGCAACACATAAATGCTTTGGATAATGTGAGTGTAGATACAATTAATAGCAAAATATAATCAACTAACACAATTGAAAGAACCGACAAACCGGTAATTTTTTTTCGATAAGAACTTTTAATATCTTTGGAAAAAAGACAAGACTCCTAATTACTTTCCGAACATATGATAATTTGATCAAACACCTACAAGAGTCTGTAAAAACGGATGTAGAAAACGCACTGCGGTGCGACCTGCCCACTCTGACATGATTCCAGAATAAATTGGATGAACTTTTCCCAAATGTAAAGTTCAGACACACGGAGAAGTTATTTATCGATCAGACCGGAATGAACAACAGGAAATTATAGCATCTGAACATAATAGAGCACATCGAGCAGCTCAGGAAAATGTCAAGCATATTCTGGAGGACAATTTTTTCCAAAAGTGGAAAAGAAAGCGAAGCAGCTGGTGGCAAACTGCCGAATACGTTCCCAGACAAAGTATGATCGTCATCCAAAAAGACAACTTATTGCCCAGACACCCATACTAACAAATTCCGGGAAGTCTTTCACAACGAACTCGCACACTATTAAGGCCACCTGCCCAATTGATGCGCTGTGTAGGGGTGGGGCATCCACGATATCTATGTCGAAGTGATTTTTCAACCTAACTGTTGAATACCAGAAAGTCCAAAGAACGGTTACAAAAACACAAATAGTCTTTATTGTTAAATGAACGAAAACTGAATGAATATATATGAATAATATTAAATACACACAAGCTAATATGCAAACAAATATTTCAATGAAGACATGTTACAATATTATTTGAACAACAAGTACAGGGTTGCCCATATTCGACGGACCCATGTTTTTTTAGGCCCATTCCAATCGACGAGGCTTGTCCGCAGGCAACATTCTTTGCGTCAATTGAATTTTGTACGGGAACAAATGCAAATCAATGCGAATAATCCGTTGTAAAGTGGGCCGAGCCATTCCCAACTGCTGAGAACGGCGTTTTTGGGAGGTTCTTGGGGACCTCTCAACACTGGCTCGTACGGCAGCGATATTCTCGGCCGATCGCCTCTTATATGGCCGACTCTTATATGGCCTCTTCGGATTAGAAAAAGCCTTACCAGTCGAAAATTTTTCGTATAAACGCTTAATAGTGTTCTTAGAAGGCGCACTTCTCACATTTTTTAATGTTTTAAAAGCACGTTGAGTTTTCACAATTGACTTCTGCTGTTGAATGTAAATTTCAACTATTTCATAGCGCTCGCGTGGCGTGTATTGGTTCATGGTAAAAATCTGCTTGGACTGACGCTTCAAACGCGGTATGTCATTAAGCGATGTGACATCTCTGTCAAAAGTTATGTCGTTGCCAGATGGATCCGTCGAATATGGGCAACCCTGTAGGTGTTTAGCTGCTATCAAAAATAATGATTATGCTATCGACTACTAGCCAATATATAATTACTTTAAAATAATGAAAAGAATAAAAAAAATTTATAAATTTGCTTTACTTCTCCATTCTTCTTATTATTAGTATTTTCATCCAAAACTATTTTTGTATTTTTATTTTAGGTTTATATATATATATATATATATATATATATATATATATATATATATATATATATATATATATATATATATATATATATATATATATATATATATTATATTAAGTTCGTAATTCCGTTTGTAACTCATCGAAATAATAATTTAAACCCAACAAAGTATATACATTCTTGATCAGCGGAAAATTCTAAGACGCTACAGTCAAAACGAATTAAGATAGGAATCTAATATTTTACACAGATCTCTTTTTTGTCTGCAGGCAGGTCAAGTTCGAAGATGGGCTACCCCCTGAAAGAGTATTGTCTATATAGGTCCTCGATATCGTATATCCCCCATATAACGGTACCACCAATATTGGGTATTTTTGTGATTGTAGCCACATTTTCAATGGAATTGTCTGAAATTATACACAATGAGTTCCTTGCAAGTACTTTGGCCCCTGAAAGAGAATTGTCTATATAGGACCAGGATATCATATATCTCCAATATAACGGTGCCCCGGACATTCGTAATTTTACCAACATTTTTCAATGGAGTTTCTTGTGAGTACTTTATTCCCTAGAAGAGAATTGTGTATATATGTCCACGAAATTGTAAACCGCCTATATAACGGATATTTTGATGATTTCAGCCAAATGTTGTAATGGAATTGTCTTAAAATCCGCACAAGGGTTTATCTAAATAGATCTACTTTTTAGTATAGCGCCCATATAACGGTAGCCCCAAATATTTGGTATTTTCATTATTTTGGGGTAAATCGTTGTCTTCGTTTTTCATTCCGCCGTAAAATGAAACTATTTTGATGTTCAACTAGTTCGTTAGTTCCTTGCCTAGCTAGTGGGGAGTTGTTTAAATTTCGAAGAATTTCTACAGATGCAGTTGGAATTGAAGCTTGTCTAAATGGTTCCACACGTGCGGAGTCGTTTGAGATGTTGGGTGGTGCGTGTCTATGACCCGTTTCTTCTCCTAAATTAAGCCTGAATATCTGGAATTGTTAAGTCAATATAGTCATAATTAAGTGGAATATCGAATTGTTGCTTTAAGTTGCTATCAGAGCAGACTTTCATTCTGCTTTTTATTTGATTTTGATGTCGTCGGATTTCTCTTGGAGCTGTATTTAACAATTTTATATTTTACTTCTCCTTCTATCCAGCGCTTCTTACCAGAAAAGTTACGTACATAAACATTTTGGCCAATAGCAAATTTGTACGGAATATTCGAAATTTGGTGTCTTACCGGAAACATTGCGCTTAAAATTATTCGTGGCTGTCGACCGTGAAGTAATTCAGCAGGGGATTTGCCTGTATGTGGGTTTGGCGTTGATCTGTGCGTCACAAAATAATTGTATGATACCTCTTCCTGGTTCGGCTGCTCTTTACTGATCTTGTTGAAAACGGTCCTAAATGTTCGAACAAAACACTCAGCTAATCCATTTCAAGCTGGGTGGAATGGAGCTGTCGTTAAATGTTCAGCGTTTGCTTCACAAAATCTATTGAATTCCATTGACGTGAATCGTGTACCATTATCATTTACAATGGTACGTGGTAAACCTGCTATTGCGAAAATACTTTGCAATGCTGCTATGGTTGACGTCGTGTTGGCTGCCGATACTGGTCTTATTAAAGGAAATTTAGAATATGAATCAACCGGAATAAGCCACATTTTGTTTAAAACGGACCAGCAAAATCGACGGGTATTTTCTACCATGGCTGTTCAGCATCAGGCCATGCTGGAAATACTTGTCATAGGCAAACACCATTTTCTTGACAAACACAACATTTCTTTGCCATATCCTCAATTTCTTGGTCGATGTTTGGGAACCATACATACCTTCTAGCTAATTGCTTCATTCTACATGCACCCCAATCCCCGTTATGTAGCATACTCAGAACTCTTGAACGAAGTGATTTTGAAACTATTACACGTGAATGTTCATTATGCAGAAGCAGTACATCACTTTCTACAGAAATGGAAAGTTTTCTTGCAAAATATGGTTTTAAATTATGATCTAAATTGTTATTTCCGGCCAACCATTTTTTACGTTATTTAGTAGTGTTTAGTAGTGTAGTGTTTTGTCTTCTTTCGTGTGTAACGATACCGTCTCAGAATCAATAGGGCAGTCTAACAATACCGTGTTATATATTTCATGAATATGTAATATCTCTGATTCAATTTTATCAAATTCATTGTCTTCTCCCATTGGTAATCTTGACAAAGCGTTATCGTTTGCATGGTGAGATGTTGCTTTATATTTTATAGAATAGTCCTATGTTTGCAATGTAATTGCCCAGCGCTGAAGTCGATGCAGTGTCATAACCGGAAGATTTTTGAATGGATGGAATATTGTTGTCAGAGCTTAATGATCTGCCACTAATTGAAAGTGTCTGCCATAAAGATATTGATGAAATTTATTGACCCCAAAAATTATGGCAAAAGCTTTCTTCTCTATTTGGGAATAAGTAACTTGAGATGCATTCAGTGTCTTTGAAGCAAAGCATATTTGTTTTTCAGTGCCATTAGAATCAGAATCTATGTGACTAAACTGCACCAAATCCGAAGTTTGAAGCGTCAGTTGCGAGAATAATGGGATATTTATCATCATTATGGGCTAATTTAGTTGCATTCATTATATCTTCTTTTAATTTTTTGAAAGCCGATTCCTGTCGATCAATCCAAACAAATTTGGCATTTGTTTTTCAAAGCTCGTTTAGTGGCGCTGCAGTTTTCGAAAAATTTGGAATGAATTTGTTATAATAATTTATTTTCCCTATAAAATCCTCAAATTCTTTGATATTTGAAGGTCTTGGCAAAAGCTGAATGGCATCTAAACGTTTTTCTGAAGGTCTTATGTCGTCAGAATCATTAATGTGTCCAACATATTCTACCGAAGATTTCGCCATTTCACATTTCTCAGCTTTACAGTTAAGTCTATAGTTCTTCAGTTTCTCGAGCACATTAGTCAAGTTTCGGATATG